ATGGAGGATTTAAGAACGCCGGAAGTTCGCTCACCGTTCTCGGATGACCCTCGGATCTCCGCCTTTGGGTTGAGGTCTCGGCCAAATTTCTTCACAGATTTTGAGCGTAATCCTCTGTAGATTAACATACTCAAATTTCAGGCTCTAACTCTTACTGTATCTAACAGATCTAAAGCAATTTCGAGAATCTGGATTCAAGAACTTTACCTTTAGATTTTTCCTCGTTTCTGGATGGTTTTGGACGATCTAAAAGTTAAGAATGTTCTTCTCTAAGTTCTGTGAAGATTTCATGAAGGCTCGACCGGAACCGGACTCCTCGTGGCCGGAGCGGCGGTTACCTCCCTCTCTCTCTAGAACTTTCCTTCTCTCTCTATAATTTTCTCTCTCACTATTTACATTCTTTTCTTTCCGCACTTTCTCCTTCTCTTCCTTTTCCCCTTTATTTTTTTCCTTTTTCTCTTTTATTCGTATGTTACTAAAAAGGAGGTATAATGACCAAATTACCCTCCAGGGATTTACCTGGACCATCCTTTTAGTTTTCTATCATTTTTCCTTTATATTTTTCTTCCGTTCTTTTATTCCTCATCATTTTTCTCTTCCGTCTCATCTCGGATTTTGGTCTTTAAGACCTTCAATAAAATTGAGAGAGATCGACTTTTAAGGTAAACTTAGATTTTAAACTTTCAATTGAGGCTCGGGTATTACAAATTCTCCCCTCCTTAAAAACTTTCGTCCTCGAAAGTTGATATCTCTCGGAAGAACTTGGGATAGACATTTCTCATATCTCTTCACCATCCCAGTTGCCTCTTCATCACAATGGGTATACCATGAGACTTTTACTAAGTGAACCACTTTGTTGCACAAGCACCTAGTGTCACGGTCTGACACAATAGAGACTGGCACCTCCTCAGGCATACTAACTCTCGATCTATAATAGATCCTATCGATCTACTAGATATGTAGTCTCGCCTGAAATGAAGTAAGCTATTTTGGTTGGTCTGTCCCCAACTACTCGGATATTGTTAAAACTCTGTTGTGTTCTTGGCAATCTAGAGATACATTTATGTAGCCATATCCCTTTTTAAAACAACACTAGAAGCATCCATCCCTGAACCCTTGACCTCCGTACTTACATTTTCTCCTAATCCTGCACAACATTTCAACACATAAACTCTAAAGCTATAATTGGTATAATTGGTAACCTTGCTCAANTACAGACTTTTTTTTTTTTTTTTTTTTTTTTTTTTTTTTTTTTTTTCTTTTTCTTTTTCTTAATAACATATTTTCCTTTATAGTCCAAAGCATTCTATATCCCTACTCCAGAATTCAAAATCCATTAAGCACAAGAAACATAATCACAGGAATAATGACCTTCGTTTAAATTTGAAGCCAGACCGGCTTTTACCTTTTTACAAGCCTGATTTTGAGAATAAAAGACCCAACATTTCATAGCACCCATGAACGCTAAGCGAGCGTGCCATGGAGGGCTTGTTTGTCCATGAAAGGTCCCTTCATGCCCACTGGAATGAATCCCAAGTCATTTGTTGATATCACTCCAGCTGAGAATGGTGACCCTGTAATGAAATTCCCAAAAATTCCTCTTTCATAGGCTGGAACAGCCGCGAATACAATGAATAGCATGCAATACCATTTAAGGGTTGTAGTAATCATGTTGCGCGATGTCTCAGGACCTTCACCTACTAGCAGGTCAAACATCGACCTACAAAAACCGTTATGTCATTCTCCATCCCTGGCCACTGTTAAAATCTTTTCAAATTCTAATACATTTTCGTACTTCCTTTGCGGAACATGTAAGATATATCGTGAGGTCATAATCTTTTTCAAGATTCCCTCGTCTCGAGGAACTCAGAGAAGGACTTACCATAGCAAACCCCCGTTAGAAGAGTTTGTATGCTCCACTGGTCTCTATTTCTATTTGATTTCACACTTTGCTGAATAGCTCGATTGGACTACTAAGCCATGTCTAACCGGATAATCATTCTCAAATTCTTCTTTAAAGACTGCCTTGATTTGCTTCAACAGAAGCTCGATAACCGTCACCAATATCGCTCATCAAAATAAGAACTCGTTTAGGGTTCTTAGCCTTGACTTTATTCAATGCCACAGCCCCATCTCCTGCGCTACTTTGAAGCCATTGTCTCTAATCCCAATGGCTCCATCAGCAACAACACCTAACGAAGGGAACCCAAGTGAGGGTTTGTCACAGTGGAACCTTATAACACTACTGAACCCGTTTAGAAATCTCCTTAGGTCACCGTTTGAACTCAATCTCAACAAAACTCCGGACCTGATTGTCCTTTTGCCAAAATGATTACCGTCAAACCGATTCAAGTTAGATCATCCATCAGAAATCAAGCTAAGAAACTTCCAACTGAACTCAAAATAATCTACTAGAAACAAAATTGAAAACAGAGCCATCTTCTTGGACTATGGCCGATGGATTACGTTTGTTTTTTTTTTTTTTTTTTTTTTTTTTTTTTTTTTTTTTTTTTTTTTTTTTTTTTTTTCTTCTTCTTCTTCTTCGGGCATTCTCAATTTCTCCATACACCCCCATAAACTACATGACTCAGTGACTGTGGTCAGTCTTGACCACCTCGTAACTGCATCAAACTTAGCGGGGTTCACTGTGATCTTTTTGTTTGACTACACATAACCTCAATTGTCATCTCAGACAGCCAAAACTTGCTCTTAGGGAACTTAGCGTACAATTGTTATGTTCATAATACCATCATAACTTTCCCCTCCTTGCCAACTAACTCCATCTAGGTGTACAACGACATATTGTCATTGAAGTCGTCTCTGACGATAACCAGAAAATTCCTTAACGTTCGATTAGTCTAAACCTAAACCTTAGCAAGACATTGATCAGGTCGAAGGACTCATCAATAAACTTTCCTTCCTCGTGATTGCTCCTAGTAGTTGTCTTCGATATACCTCTCTCCCTGATCCTCACAAGAGGTATCCTAAACTTGTCGAGACCCTTACAATCCTACTACTTCACCAAGAATGGTCTCGTAATTAGCTCCCAATTGGCCAACATAGGTCTTTCCTCACAACAAGATAACTTGTCATGTAGCTTGCCTGAATACTAATACTCATCTGAGCTAAATGCAGGCTCTTTCGAAAGTAAAGGTTCCTTGTATAAGTCTCTTTCGAAAGTAAAGGTTCCTTGTATAAGTCCTCTACATTCAATTAGGTCAACTCCTGTAGTGTCTTATGGTTGATCAAGTCACATTTCCTTTCGTAGTGATATCTTATATTGGCTCATGTGTGTGCATCCATCAAGTTCTTGCAGAGGAGCCTATGGAACTCTCTAAAAACTCTTGTTTGGTAACTAGTCTTCCTCAAGC